GAATTAGATGGTCTTTAAGTTCCCTTCCAACCCAACCCATTCCATGATTCTAACCCATTTAGTTTCTAAATAAATCCATTTAAAATGTGGCTCCGGGAAATTTCCTGAGGTGTGATGAGATTCCTCCTTCGGATTCTTTTGGATGTAATATTCTCTTGTTGAATATTTTATATTCCATTCTATATTCTACCATTGAAAATGATAAAAAAATATCATTTATGTGCTTTTAACAATGCTGAAACCTGATTTCTAAGTTTGTTGTGCTTAAGGAATGGTTCAGTGATCCTGCTTTTAATCCTTTGGATCCATTGGAAAGTTTTAGGATGAAAATCATCCCGTTTAGGACTTGATTACTCCTGGTAATCTATCTACTTCCAGATCCTGGTAATCTGCTTCCTGGTCACCTGTAGATCTGGAATTTAGCAATCCCAGGAATGCTGGTGTGGATTTGACTGGATATTGTTCCCTGAATATCTCTGGGCAAGGATAAATATAATTATTATGGAAATTTTCTGGCTGTTTGTCCAGTTTAAATGCTGGAATTCTTTGGAATTTTTGAGATTATTTGGAATTTTTGGGATTTTTTGGTCTGACTGAGTGTTAGTGGTAAACTGCTTCAATTTAATTAGTTTTAGATGTGTCTAAAACCTGAGAATTCCAGGTGAAAAGTGGAATTTTAAAGGAGAGAAAAGAATTCCTTCATTGAATTTGGCCCTTGCCCTTGGGAGGAGGAATGAAAATATCCTTAAAAGGGGGATTTGACGTGGATTTGGTGCCAAAATTACAGAGTTTTGGGGTTCTACAATAGCCTTTAATGCTAAAAATTCAGGAATAAATGAGATTTCCATGTGTTTCTTTGCAAAGAAACAAAGAATTCAAGTGTGGTTTTTTTTTTTCTCTTGTAGAGCACAGAGATCATTCCAAACCTGGAAAAACCACTCATTCCACCTTCAAATCCACACGGTTCTACCTCCACCATCCCGTGCCCACGTGTGACACCAGTGAGTTCTCCGAGGACAGTTCCGGAGTGGGGATTGCTCCACCTTCCTCCAGCGGTGCCTGGAAAAAACCACACCGGCATCAACGGGTGTTCTCTGCCCATCACAGAAAAAGTGGGAAAAGGGAGTTCTTTCCACTCACTGCAGAAGCAGATGAGAGTAAAAATGAGGATCTGAGCGTCGGGAATGAGACGTCGGGGATGGAGCGACGTCAGCGTGGGAGAGAAGCAGAACAAGGAGCAACTGGGAATTCTGCTTTGCCACGGAGCCAAACAACTCTCCGGGATGGGAACGTGGAGGAACCACCAAGGCAGAGAACCCACTCCAGTGGGAGCTTGGATGAGCTGTGGGTTAAGTTTCTGGAGAGGCAGAGGAGGCACCAGCAGCACGGTTTGAGGAGTAACGGGGAGCTGTCCCTGGTAGAACGCCTGGATCGGCTGGCCAGGGTCCTGCAGAACCCCATCCAACACACACTGATCCCAGCAAAAGCCGGGAGGAACGTTCCTGAAAGGAAGATCAAGGGAAGGGAGCAGACAGAAACAGGATTGGGACAGAACAACTCCTCTGGGAGCGGCGCGGAGCCGATGGCGACGCGTGTCGGAGAAAGAACGCGGGACGACACCGGCCTGGCGGAGCTCAGGGAAAACGGGGCGGGAGACACAACCGTCCTGGAGGAAGAGGAACAGCAGCACCACTGGGAATCTCCCAGCGACAATTCCTCGGAGACGAGGCTGAGCGGAGAGCACGGCACCACCACCACCACTTCCAGCAGCTGGGAGTGGGACACGCCGACGGAGCCGGGAAGCGCGACGGAGCGGAGCAGCTCCGTGTCCACCATCGACACGGCCAGGCTGCTCCGGGCCTTCGGGCACCACAGGGTCACCGTGGCTCCCAGGGTGTCTCCCAGGGTGTCTCCCAGGGTGTCTCCCAGGGTGTCTCCCAGGCTTTCCCAGCTCTATTCCGCCATCGGCCTCCAGAAGAGCCGCTCGGAAAAGCGGGATGAGGGAAGCGGCGAAGCGGCGGGCGCGGAATATCCGAAGGTCGGCGCCGAGAGGCACAGGAGGAGGAAGGAGATGCAGGTATGGATCAGTTAAACTAAAACTCGGGTTTAAATAGTCCTCTAGTCTTAGTTTATTTGGGAATCGTGTAAAAATTCCTAGAGAGTGTCGTTTCTATGGAAAACTCCTTCTCATCCAAGGAGTGCCAACAAATGTCTTCGCTTTTCCAGGAATCAGGAAAAGCAAAATATCTTAAAACGACAATTGTGGGGTTTTTCCCTTTATTTTTCTTGGCTTTTTTCCCTCTTCCTTTATTTCCCATGGGAAGCAAGATCCTGGTAATCTGCTTCCTGATCCTGGTATCTGCTTCCTGATCTTTGTAATCTTCTTCCTGATCCTTGTAATCTTCTTCCTGATCCTTGTAATCTTCTTCCTGATCCTGGTAATCTTCTTCCTGATCCTTGTAATCTTCTTCCTGATCCTTGTAATCTTCTTCCTGATCCTTGTAATCTTCTTCCTGATCCTGGTAATCTTCTTCCTGATCTTTGTAATCTTCTTCCTGATCTTTGTAGTCTTCTTCCTGATCCTTGTAATCTGCTTCCTGATCCCGGCATCTTCTTCCTGATCCCGGATCTGCTTCCTGATCCTGGTAATCTTCTTCCTGATCCTGATAATCTGCTTCCAGATCCTGGATCTGCTTCCTGATCTTGGAATCTGCTTCCTGATCCCTGATCCTGGATCTTCTTCCTGGTCACCTGCGATCTGGAATTTAACAATCCCAGGGATGCTACTGTGGATTTGACTGGATATTGTTCCCTGAATATCTCTGGGCAAGGATAAATACAATTATTATTGGAATTTTCTGGCTGTTTGTCCAGTTCGAATGCTGGAATTCTTTGGAATTTTTGGGATTCTTTGGAATTTTTGGGATTCTTTGGAATTTTTGGGATTCTTTGGAATTTTTGGGATTATTTGGTCTGGCTGAGTGTTGGTTGTAAACTGCTTCAATTTAATTAGTTTTAGACTTATCTAAAACCTGAGAATTCCAGGTGAAAAGTGGAATTTTAAAGGAGAGAAAAGAATTCCTTCATTGAATTTGGCCCTTGCCCTTGGGAGGAGGAATGAAAATTTCCTTAAAAGAGGGATTTGATGTGGATTTGGTGTACAAATTACAGAGTTTTGGGGTTCTATAATAGCCTTTAATGCTAAAAAGTTGGGGAACAAATGAGAAATATGGAAATATTTCTTTATTTTTTTTATTACCAGAAGAAAGTGGTTTTGCCATCATTATTAGTAGCTTGAATTGAAATGAATTATTTGATTTTTATAGAAATAAAATAGGAATAAAAACTCAAAGTCTGGGTGGTAAATGATGAAAATGATTTGAAAATAATTTGGAATGAAAGTAAATGAAAAACAATGCAAATACGTAAATTTTTCCAGGTGAAAAAAATACTTTAAAAATATTTGAATTAATCTTTTTATGACATTTATTTGAAGGCAAAATAAAGCTACCTTAATTAGTATTTGTATTTATAACGTTTATCTAAAGGTAAAATAAAACTGGCTTAATTAATATTTGTATTTATAACATTTATTTAAAGGTAAAAGAAAAATACCCTAAACTTTGCAACCTTAAAACCATTCACACTGACCATCCAATAATTAAATTATCCAACATTTCTGGCCTGATTATAATATTCAGGAAATTATTTCATTCCACACTCCATTCATAAAATTAATATTTCAGGGTCTCTTTGGACCTTAAACCTAAATCTGATCTTTGTCCTGTGAGAAAATAAATTGAATTTATACTTAAAAGATAAAGGTTCATTCAAGGCATTGAACCCCCCTGGCTTTAGAAACTCAGATTTTTGTTCTCTCCTGATGTAAAATTAGTTTAAAAAATCCCTATAAAGACCCATGTGACCCAGGAGTGAGAGAAAATACAAGAAAAAATAAGAAAAAGAAGAAAAATAAGAAAAAATAAGAGAAGGAATAAGGAGTGAGAGAAAATAGATGGAAACCCAGCAAATTAACTTTAAAATGCAAATTTTTCTCATTTCTCTACCGCTTGGCTGAAAAAAAAAATCGAATTTTATTCGTATTTTTAGCTTCAAATCTTTGTGTTTTGGAGGCAGAGAACCTTTCCCTGCTCCCAGAGAAATTCCTGCACCGTTTTTTGAGGGAATTACTGCGTTTTGGAGCTGAGTTTTTTTTGGCTTTTGGGTTGTTGTTGTTGGGTTTTTTTTTTTGACAGCCCATTGTCAGCTTTGCTTTTTTTTATTTATAGCAGCCAAAGGCAGCCCAGAAGGTTTTTATCTCTCCCAGTTTCTGTTCCATCTGGTAGCAGGTCCAGAGCTAAAGGTCGTGCTGAAATCATGGAATATTCTCCTCCAAACGAGAATATTCCTGTCAATATTCAGGATTTAATGGCTGCAGGTAAATGGAATATTTGGGAATTTTTTTCCCTTATTTTTTTTTACTCCTTATTTTTTTTTCCTCTGAGAAAATATTCAATTTTGGTTTTGTTTAAAAAAAAATAATCTGTATCCAAGACACATGTCTGGTGCCTCTCCCAGAACTGGGATTGTTTTATGGAATTTTAAATCCCCCAGGTTTATCAGAGGAAAAATTTAGGAAATTTAAAAAAAAAATCTGGGTTTATGAGAGTAAAAATTGAGGAAATTTTAAAAAAATCCAGGTTTATGAGAGTAAAAATTGAGGAAATTTCAAAAAAATCCAGGTTTATGAGAGTAAAAGTTTAGGAAATTAAAAAAACCACAACGATTTAATAGGAATAAAAATTCATGAAATTAAAAAAAATCCAGGATTTATAGGAGTAAAAAGTTATGAAATTTAAAAAAATCCGAGGTTTAGAGGAGTAAAAATTAATGAAATTGAAAAAAAAATAACAGGTTTATAAGAGTGAAAATTTATGGAAATTAAAAAAAAACCCCACAGGTTTATGGGAGTAAAAATTTATGAAGTTAAAAAAAATCCCGGATTTATAGGAGTAAAAAGTTACGAAATTTAAAAATATCCTGAATTTATAGGAATAAAAGTTTATGAAATTAAAAAACTCCAAGGTTTATAGGAGTAAAATGTTATTAAATTTAAAAAAATCCAAGGTTTATAGGAGTAAAAATTAATGAAATTAAAAAAAAAAATCCCAGACTTATAGGAGTAAAAATTTATGAAATTGAAAAA